TAGTAGTCCTAGTAGTCCTAGTAGTAGTAGTAGTAGTAGTAGTAGTAGTAGAATTAGTAGTAGTAGTAGTAGTAGTAGTAGTAGTAGTTGTTGTTGTTGTTGTTGTTGTTGGTGGTGTTGTTGTTGTTATTGTAGTTGTTGCTGTTGTACTGTTATTAGCACTGTTATTGGCATTGTCATTAGTCTTTTGCTTATTCTTAGTAAATATTATTAGTAGCAGTATTACCATTGCTGTTATGACTAAACAACATTATCATTATTATTATTGTTGTTATGGTCATCAGTTTTATTGTCAATATGTCTTGTTTTTACACTCTTGAAAACAAGAGGCCTATGGCCTGGTCGTAGCCGTAGCCTTGGCCGTAGCCGCCTTGGCCGTAGCCGCCTTGGTCGGAGCCGCCGTGGCCGTAGCCCTGGTCATAGCCTCCGTAGTGGTTCTGCGCATACGGGTCGTGCATGCCTGGCGTCAAAAGGCTATCTCCAGGCGTCATGCGTGTCTATTCGTTCTTGTGTTGGGGAAAAACCAGCGACCTGGCTCTAGCAGGTGTGTAGAACAACAGATTTGCTGAAACCAGGGCCGAATACATTTAGCAGTGATTCTCGTTTAGCAGGCCTTGGGAAATGCATTTGGGCTTGGAGCTCCGGGAACTGAACTCTGCCCCGAAACCCGCCCGTCAACCCAACCCCCTGCCCTGAACCCCCGACCGCCCCTGCAACGGTTCCGGAACCTGACCTTGCCTGCCCCAAACCTTGTTTTGGCTGGAGACCCCAAAGCTCTCTCTGTCTCTGTTGGGGGAAAAAGTCACGGTGAGGCATATCGGGAGGGACAAAAGCTTTGACTTCTGGGGACCTTTCTTGTCTTAAGACGTCTTGTTTGTGGAGTGTCGGAGTAGCAACAAGTGCGAACTATGAGGCTTGGCCTGGCTCGCGGAGTATTTTATACACTGATTGAAAATTATACTACTTCAATGTTGCTGAGGACGGCCCCTTGGGTCCGCTTTGCTAGGCTTCTACAGGGGGAACCCGGAACCCGTCCTGGAACCTGCCCCAATCTGCCCCAAACCCTGTTTCGGCTGAAGACCCAAAGCTCTCGTTGTTAGGGAGAAGGCTTTTGCAAAATCCCTTGGAGCTTTCATTGCGCTAAACGAAAGTAACCCCAAGAGCACGAAGGTATTTCAACAAAAGACTGCCCTAAACCCTAAACTTCAAACCCTAAACCCTAATCCTGGTATAATCTCCAGCGAGCCTTGTGCCTGACCGAAGAAAGCCGCGAGGTGTGGCCTGCGACCACTGCCTGAAAGGGATCTGTAGGGTTGGGGTTTAGGGTTTTTTTTAAGTGCAGTGGCCCCTTTCTCTCGCCGAAGAGCCCGCCTTATGCAAGCTTGCACTGTGGAAAGAAGCGAAGCAAAACAGCCCACCCAGAATTCAGCAGTCACGACTTCGACTACGGCTAGACCTCAGAGTCCGAAACGGAGGAGACTCAGAAGACGAAGAGG